CTAAGCCCCTGTTTGATCCCCATTAAATTATATTCCATTACATTCTATTTTTCTCTCTCCTATTTTCAACCACACAATCTTCCATAAAATAATATTACACGTAAATCGAAATTTTTTTATTATTTTTCAACCAATCATTTTTTCAATAAAACACTATTCCCCCCATTTTCATTACAAAAAATGGGGGTCAAACAGGGGCTAAATATCAAAGACAACAACAAGAGATGAAGAAAAAATGGCTTCGAAGGTCATCTCAACACAGAAAAGGAATTCTTCAGCCAAAAAATTTATGGCAAATACAAAATGTTGTTGTGGGAATCTAAATACTTGGAGCTATAAAATCCAATTTTGAAGAACTATTATCTTTGGTTTCATAGTAGAGAAAAATGATAGGAAAAATGTAGGCGAGACTTTAGCTGAAAACTTAGCCAATCTTCAGCCTTCGATTGCTACCATCGAGGGTCGTCGAGGACTCCGTAGCTTCGACAGGTAGCAACCCAACTAAAAAATCATGTTGCGAAGCTCCAAAATCTATTCAAACTATGGCTCGTGCACTATCTATTTGCTAAAATGCTTAGCCCAACATTCTTCTTGAAAAAGTGTTTGCTTGTAGCTAATTCTTCCAAGAATTTAGAAAGCAACTTTGAATACAAGATGCTCGACCAAATGCTCAACGCTAAAATTTCTCATTGTATGGCTGCATTAATCAAACATGATTTGAGCCTAACTATAAGACATCATCTATTCGAGGTCATCTTATAAGATTTCGATAGTTAGAACGCTATTCGTCAGATTCTTATTCTTGACTTCACGAGATATTTATTCCTCACATCTCGCTATCATCAAGCTTAACTGTAAGTCATCGTCCTTTTGAGGCCAGATTATAAGACTCCGATAGTTCGAGAGCTATTCGAGAGATGTTTATTCAGTGCCTTGTTAAGCATTCATGGCTTTGCGAGATGTTTATTCATGCCTTCTCATTGTTGTCAAGTCTAGCTTTAAGACCTCGTCTATTTGAGGTTGCTTATAAAACTCCAATAGTTCGAGAGCTATTAGCAATATGTTTATTCCTTGCTTCTCCATATGCTTATTTCTAGATTTACGAGATGTTTATTATCGCTTCTCATATACTTATTTATGGCTTCGCGAGATGTTTATTCATAGCCGTAAGACCTCGTGAGTCCAAGGTGCTTATAAGACTTTGATAGTTCGAGAGTTATTAGCAGGATGTTTATTCTCTGCTTATCCAAATGCTTAGTCCTGGCTTCACAAGATGTTTATTCCTCATTTTTCATTATCTTTTAGCCTAGCTGTAAGACCTCGTCCATCCAAGGCGGCTTATAACACTTCGACAGTTCTTGAGCTATTAGAGAAATGTTTATTCCCTGCTTCTCTATATGCTTATTCTTAACTTCATGAGATGTTTATTCCCACCTCTTACTATCTGGAGCCTAGCTGTAAGACATCTTTTATTTGAAGCCGCTTATAAGACTTCGCTAATTTGAGAGCTCTTAGTGGGATGTTTATTCTCTGCTTCACCGAATGCTTATTCTTTGCTTCACCGAATGTTTATTCTTGTGTTCGCGAGATGATTATTTCTCCTTTTTCACTATTGACGAACTTAGTTATAAGTCCTCGTCTATTCGAGATTAGCTTATAAGACTCTGACAGTTCATGACTAGCCCTCTACTAATATTTATTCATCACTCTACAAGATACCTCGCTATGCGAGATGATATCGTTGAACCAAGCTATAAGACATCGTCTATTTGAGGCCAGCTTATAAGTCTTCGATAGTTTAATAAACTTCATGATGCCTCTACATCAGCTTATCACAAGCTACTTAATACTCAGAGCCATGTCTCTGCATTAGCTATAACATAACTATATCTATTTTTAGAGAGCTCATCATGCTATTGCATTACAGTTACATATATTTTAGAGCTTTGCTTCTACTTCAGCTATGTCACATCAACTTATCTTCAGAGATCTTATATTATCCCATGGATGAATAAACTATCCACCATGTAGGAAGCTTTTGGCATTGATGAACCATTCACCATGCAAGGATGTCATTTATCGCTTCGTAAGGAAATTGATGGGCCCACCTTAATATCTACGAAGACAAAACCTTCTATGGCTATATCAAGCACCATAAAGGAAACCCTTACACGGAAGAGCCACCCCTTTGTAAGGAAGTAAAACAACCTCCACAAGGACAAATGTGATACCTCCCATAAAGAGCCACACTTTGCTACCTTAGAGGTTAACTCGTTCTATGGCTGGCCCAAACAACATGGAGAAAGCCCTTAACATGGATGTACCACCCATATTAAGGATATCAACTTATCATAACTATATATATTCATAGCATGGCTTCTGCTATCATATCTGATGCATATCTTTTGCTAATTACATTCAGAACATCGTCTCTACTGCTCATATTCAAAGTCTCGCCTCTGCATTAGTTTCATTATAGTGGCTTATATGTCAAGTCCAACCCACATATAAATATTCCACTCAGACTTGTGGGATTATTGTGATACTGGTATCTTTTTATCATTACATTATCACTGCTAGCTTGTTATAACTCTATTTTTCACTACTGCCAGTACGTATGTCACATTATCTACATCATCAACATGTTACTTGCTTCCCATTAACAATACTTTTACACTAGCTTTGGAAGCATATGATTTACTATGATGCATGATAGACCTTCTACACATTATGTTTTGGAGAAATTTAACTATTACTATTTCTCTTTATTGTCATTATTTGGAGGTGCAAAGGGACCTTATATTTATTTTGTACATGTGCAATGGATTTATTGTATTGTATTACAGGTTGGTTGAATCCATATTATAGGGTGATGTTGCTAAAATTTCAACAAATTATATAACACATCTTTCGAGGCAATATGTAAGTCCTCGCTTATTGAGACTCGCACAGATATTTTTGAGGTAGTTCATAAGTCCTCATTTATTGGATCAACTTATATTCTTGAGGCAATTCATAAGCCTTTGCCTATTTAAGATCTATGCATATTTCGAGACAGTATGTAAGTCCTCGCTTATTGGAGTTACTTATTTTTTATGAGACAATTTATAAGACCTAGCCTATTTGAAAGCTTACATTTCGAAGTCCGACTTGCACATGAGAATGTAAGACTCGGACATGGGGACTATTGTTAAGCCTATAAATTGCATGGCATACGCATGACGGAGAGAGTCCCATATATGTTGATGTGGCGTCAATTATTCAATTGATTGGGCATATTTAATTAAATGACTTTGTATTCGGCTTGAAACTCGTCCCATTAGCCCCACTTGACCCATCCATTTCTCTATATATATGTGAATCCATGTCACCTAAGTTATATTTTTTCTAACCCTAACCAAACCCCTATCCAGTCTCTTGCACTCTATATATTTTGCCTGGCAGTTGACTTCACCTTTGGAGTGTAAATGGTCATCGAACCCTTTTCTCGACCCGTGGCCTTCGCCTCCTAGTGAGGTGTTCGAGTATACAGGTAATGGTTGCATGAAAGGAACGCAGTCGGGATTTCGTTGACACATTTTTTTAGGTCAAATTCATTAAAATTATTAAACACTATTATCATCCTATTTTTTATGGTTGCATGAAAGTTGTGCTTTATAGTGTATCTTGATTAAATTCATTAAATTTATTAAACACTATTATCATCCTATTTTTTATGAAATTCATTTTAATCACAAGAGAAGAATTATTGGAATTAAAAGGGATTGATAAAAAATATTTTAAGTAAAAGTTAAGTTAGCGGCAAATTATGTAATATACTTGTGTTTAACCTTGATTATTAGAAAAACATTATCTGTTTAAAGACATAGTTATTTACTTATAAGTTGATTACCTTTTCAAGAAGTAATTCTTACATAATTATTATTAAAATAAGTAACATATTTATTTTTTATTTTGATTAGTAAAAACAACTATTCATCAAGCGATTTTTTTTTTATTTTTATTTTTTGTCTACTTGCATGATTTATCGTATTTTAAGTTTTTTTTTTTTTTTGGTTTGTGTACTGTGTGTATATATGTAATTGATCCATTAATTTTGGTTAGTTTCGAGTATTGGAATGCTCCATCTACTTTGACCAACTCCAATGCTAAAATTTATAGCACGCAAAAGGTTGCCACATAAATTAAAATATACAATATCTACAAAAGTTCATCTCAAATACAATATGTTTAGGACTACCCCTAGTTGATATGACAGGAAAAGTAGAAAACCGTCTAAATGGAGTGAGAAACGATATTCAATATTTTCTTTCTTTCTTATGTTTTATTATTTTCACAGTTTCTCTTCTCGTCGTTGTTATGGTCAAAAGCGTATCATTAATTCGTTGTAGGTATGGATCAATCATCTTAAATTAAAAAGTCCTAACTTATGTAATCAACTCCTAACTTATAACGTTTTTCACTTTAGTTACTTGTTTGTTCAAATCCTACAAACATACATGTCATTGACAAGTAAAATTTAAAATCATTACAAGTATCATTCCCACAAGGATTTAGATTCTAATTTGTGTTCTATCATTTTGTGCTAAAAATTGAATAATCACATAATCAATTGTTAAATGAGATGTTCCATAAGCCTACTGATTATTCTACTTCAGTGCCGTACCTGTGTTTCGCGGGGCCTGAGGCGAGATTCAGAATTTGGGCCCCTACTTCATAGCAAACAATGATTTTTTTTTTCATATTATTTATAAGAGTTTCAAGGAACTAAATTTTTAACATAAAATCCATAATAAAGCAACAAATAAAAATGAAATTCAAAATATTTATATTATAATCAAATAGCAATACAAAGATGTATAAGAAAATGTTCTAAACCATCATTTAAATACAACTCGTCTTGCGGTTTTTGAGGCAAAAATATCAATCAATTTTGTATAGTCGAGTTGTTCAACCATTTCTTTTTCAATGGACAACATAGCTAATCCATTCAATTTTTGCTATGACATGGTTGATCGAAGATAAGGTTTGATCAATTTCAATTTGGAGAAACTTCTTTCTGCCGATGCAACTGTAACCGGTATAGTGAGCAAAATCTTGTAAGCAATGCAAGCATTCGGAAAACAACCATTCATTTTCTTCAAGTAATTTAGCACATCAATTGCTCTTTTTGTTTCTCCAGGTAAATAGCACTTCAAAACTAACAACTCCGTACATAAGTCATCACCAATAATGTCTAAATGTCCATTATGGCTCAAATACTGCTCAAGATTCTTACAAGATTTCAACAAACTGTTAACATCCATACTCTTTAATCTCTCCGAATTAAACAAAAATCCAAATGTCTCTTCATAATGTTTAAATTGTTCAAACCTAGTTTGAAGTGAAGATCGAGCTTGGTTAATTATAAAGAGAAAGTAATCAACTCGAAAAGATTCTTCAGTTGATAGTGTTACCTCTTCACTGCCACTTTCATCAAACTAACAGCTTCAATTCCCATTTCAACCGCTATTTGTTTAGCTTCATCCATGGCACTGGCAAATCCAGATTCTCCATAATTTTCGAGAAACAAAATAAGTGCTTCTAAAAGCTTGATGGCCTCATCAATATCTATATTTTCTGCTTGAAAAAATTTACTCACAGTATTGAAAGCATGCAACAACTTATACCAAATAACCATACCAAGTAAGAACTCAAAATTTTCAAGTTCATATGTTGCTAATGACTTAGCTTCACTCTTTGTTTTAGGATCTTCAGCAATGTTTGCCAAGTCAAGTAAAGCGTCTCTTATTTATACAGATTGCTCTTTTATAGGTTTGACACTTTCCACATGACTTTTCCAACGTGTTTGGGACAATGGCTTAAGTGTTAGACCTTCAACCTTATCTTTAAAAATTTTCCATCGTTTGGGAGAAGAAGAGAACACTGTATAGATGCGTTGTATCACTCCAAAGAAGGACATAGCTTTAGAACAACAATTTGCCATGTCACATAATGCTAGATTCAGGCTATGACAACCACATGGAGTATAGAAAGCTCTAGGATTTATTTCAAGTAACCTTTTTTGTACACCTTTATGTCTCCCGCTCATGTTAGCTCCATTATCATACACTTGACCTCTTATATTGTCAACATCAAGCTCAAGATTCGTTAACACATTCGTAAGTTCAGTGAAAAGTCCCAGTCCTGATGTATCGTCTACTTTCAAAAATTCAATCCAATATTCTTGTACCATCGAAGAGTCCATTGATTCATCCACACATCGTATTACTAGAGACATTTGCTCCTCATGACTCGCATCTGGAGTACAATCAAGTATGACAGAAAAATATTTTGCATGTTTTACTTTTGTGACAATTGCACTTCTCACCTCGCCTGCCAAAGTTTGTATCAATTCATTTTGAATTTTAGGACCAAGATATGTAAACTGAATCTCACGTGCTTGAGCACGTCGAATGTGTTCTCTTATTATTGAATCAAATTCAGCAACCATTTCTATCATTTGCAAAAAAAGTCCATTGTTCTCCACGTAAAGTTGCTCACAATTTTCGTGAAATGCCAAAGTATTTTTAGCAAGTCATTTAACAATAGCAATTATCCTCGTTAGTACTTGTCTCCAATGCTTTCTTTCTTTGTTGATGGCCAATTGTATATTTTTATCAATTGTATCCTTTGTTTGAAGCCTATTTTCTAGTTCCATCCAACTAGTCATGCAGCCTATATGCTCCTTAGACACTTCATGATTTGTAAGGCGACGATGCATATTATGCCAATCTTTATATCCCTCGTTACCCAATTGACCAATACTTTTCAACGTTCTTTTTGTTTTAAACAACTTGCAGGAAAAACAAAATATCATGTCTAAAGAAATGGAATACACTAACCATCTTCTATCAGTTATCTGCCCATTTGCAAGTAGCCGCTTATAGTATTATGATTCAAAATGTCTACCTTGACTATCTTTGGGAAACAAGATGCCATCAACTCTTTTTGGACCTATTTCAACTAAAAAGTCCCTCGTCTTTTGATCAATGTGGATGTCCTTCCAATTTTCGGGATCTTCAAAATTCAAAGAAAAACAATTGTCTTGATTTAAATCTTCATGTTGAATATTATTTGCCTAATTTTGCTTTGATTCATCCACATTGGCAGGTTCAATCACTTCCTCGTTCTCTTTCCATTCATCCACATTGTCATTATCATTCTGATTCTGTTGTTCCTCAATCAATAAGTTTTCTGGTGTTCCTTCCTTCTCTTTTTGTTTCTTGTTATTAAAGTACTTCTCCATATCTCCAGTCTGGCTTCGAATTAATGCCTCTACTCTTTCTCTCTTTTTCTTTTTTTGAGCTCCAGATGCATATTTAGGAGCCATGGTATTTGATTCAAGTCACTCAACAACTATCAATAACCTGCAAGGATCCCAAATTGGTCCAAAAATATTAGTACATTAATATTGTCTAATGTGATTATTAAACTAGAGTTAAACCAAAAATTCAGATTTATTACAATTTGAATGAGTGGATGTGGGGAAAACAAGCCCCTTTGAAAATGGAATGAGGCAAGAAATTCTACATTTCTACCCTTCCCAAATATGGAAAATCCAGTTGCAAATCATGCCATCTGAATTTACCCCACCAAGATACGAGTCAGGGCTTCTCCAGTTTTCCATACCCGACCCAACTCAACAAACTTATCATCACACTATCAGTCTATCACAATTCACAGCCAGAAGCCTACGAGGAAAGGAACGCGAAAGCAGAAACTAAAGTCTAAAGGTTTAGCCGTTCAGTTGAAATAAAAGACCTGAATTTGCCCCACCAAGATACGAGTCAGGGCTTCTCCAATTCTCCATACCCGACCCAACTCAACAAACTTATCATCACACTATCAGTCTATCACAATTCACACAGCCAGCAGCCTACGACGAAAGGAACGCGAAAGCAGAAACTAAAGCCTAAAGGTTCAGTTGAAACAAAAGAGCATCTGAGCATGTTTGGCTAAGGTTATAATTTACTTATAAGATTCATTTTCTATTAATGCATAGCATAATAGCATTACTCATATGAATTGATAAAGATGAGAAAATAAAAAAGAGTTGTTTCAGCAAACGCAAGCGCAGGCACAGCCACACAGGCAAAGTTGCAAATCCGCCAAATCGCAGCGTGAAATAAATTAAATAATTACAACTACCGGCACTGCAGAAAGGGTTAAACTTAATTGGTTAAGGGTTGTTGATTTTCTAAAATCATTGGCGAGATGAGAGCTGTCAGCCGTGCCTCATGCCTGTAGCCGTCGGGCGCCGGCCGGTTGCGGCCCCGCCTTTGCACTTTCCTCTTTTAGAAGGGCTTTGATTTTTGAATTTTGCAGGGGTGCAGGGTAAGTGGTGGACGATTGTCTCCAGGTCTGGTCTCCCGACTCCCATCTCTATTAAAAAGAAGAATAAAAAAAATGAAAGGAAAAAATTTTGGGCCCCCTAAAAATCTGGGCCTGAGGCGGAGGCCTCTTGGGCCTCTCATCAGGTCCGGCCCTGTTCTACTTATTATCTATATGAAAATTGTGCAAGGCATCATAGTCCCACGTTAGGTTTAAGTCATGGTAAGTTCCATGTTAAAAGATCATTAAGTTGAGATGTGATTGTGGTTTGTTGATTGGTGTTAATAGTTGGATGAGTATGTTATCAAAAATCATGGAAGTGGAATAACTTATATGTATTCAATAAATGATCAAAAGGTGCTTGAGTATAATTTTTAGATTTTCTATGCTCGATGAATGTCTAAAGGTGCTCGAACACATTTTTTAGAATTTGATGTGGCCGATGAACACGGGTGGGGAAAACCGATTTTGCTTATTTCAATCTCCAAATACTCATAAACCACCTAGAACTGCAAAATATGTTTAATTAACGATGAAATCTCCTGTGTTTCATTGTATATTGAGAGAGAGAGAGAGAGAGAGAGAGAGAGAGAGAGAGAGAGAGAGAGAGAGAATTATAGATTAGAAAAAACAAATTATTATCAAATTGGGAGTCGAAGTCTACTAGAGTTTAGTTGTGTCTAGACCATATTTGTTATTTCAATCTTCCTGAAATGGATCATTTGGTGGTATGGGGTGCTAGAGGTTTATTCTCCTAAAGAGTTCTTTAAAGATTTTTCCTTCGTGAACAATTGGTAGTATTTACTTTTCACTACATCACTTTCTTACTTCATTGATTGTTGTTTTCTAAAGCTTATTTCTTGTATATCTTGACTGTATAATTTGTGATTTATTGCATACTATCACTGATAAATTTAAATCCACATAGACGCCTATTCATCCCCTTTATGTATAAAGTAGGTTGAAACAACATTTTTTTTTCAATTGGTATTATAACCTAATTTGATTCTTGTCCGTGACAATTTAGATGAGCACTTGTAGATCTTTATCTATCCCACAATACATTGATGGGGGGCAATTTGTAAGTGTTATGCCCTAAGTCCAATCGATTTTGGACATAAACACCTTTCAGTATATAGTTGATGCGATTTATGACATATCTATTATCTAATTAATTAATATTCAATTGAATTAAATAATAGAGTCTGTAGGTTCAAATCTTAGTAATTTGCTAATCATAAGGAGTTTTGATTGTGAGATACAAATTATATATGATTAAATTTTAAATCATTCGTGGTCGTAAGTAATAATGAGATACAGATATCGTTATTACGGAAAGATTATCACGTGTGGCATTTCTTCCTTGTGAAGTAAGTAGCTGATCTCACAAACTAAAGTGTGGTGACACTTAAATGAATACATGGATGTTTTGTTATAGAACAAAATATTGGAGACCCACTAAGAGCTTCCACATGAATAACTATCTGAGTGTTAGTGGTTAATCTCTAACGTCGGTAGTGGGATTGGTCCTTTGACTTGAAGACGTCATAGTACCTTATATGAGTACAGTCATGCTTTGATGATTTTGGATGTTGCTTTGCCAAGAGCCGTTAATACGACATTGTTCAGGTATGTCAAGAATCATATAAAGGTTGTGAATGAACAATAGAGGATTCGTCACTCTTAGATAGTAAGAGATTATGATCTGCATTTCATTCAATTAAGTCGATAATGAAGTCTTTGGCTAAGGTATACTCATAAGTCGAAAAAGAGTTTTCGACTTATATTGACTTAATTGTGGAGTGAAAGATATGATCAATAATGGAGATTGACGTACTTCCATATTTCGTAATTGATCGGATCATATTGACGAAAGAATTATAGTTTTAAGGTAAACAAACGAGTTTGGTTTTGCCATACCACGTGACATTTCCCGTCACATGTATTGTCTTTACACATTGCTAGATGTCAATCTGGGATGACGAGTGTGAATTGATGATAAATTAAAAGGATATTTTAATTTATCAATTTTGATTAGATCAAAATAATATTTCACGTTGTTAAGTATCGTGATCGGGAACCTGATGGGTCTCACACAACAAGAGAACTGAAAAATTGTGATTTGTCAATTAATTAATTTAACAAACATTGGATAAATTAATTAATTGGGTTGCTTATTTATGGGCGTGGATTAATTAATCGGGCTAATTAATTCACGAACCGAATTTAATTAAATGAGTTAATTAAATATTGGGCCAGGTCAGGCCAAGGCCATTCGGACTTATATAAATATGACTAGGATTTTTAAAATTTGTACAGAATTCATTCTTGCTAGCACAACAAGCAAACCATAATCCTGCAATCTTGTTCTCTATGTGGATCACCGTTGGAGACTGGATAATTAGACAGCTATGAGTGGCAGATCATGGTTACTGGAATGAAAGAATAACAAAGGAGTTTGCAGAATCAAAGCAAGAATTGCAAAGGAGTTTGTAAAATCAATGAAAGGTACAATTTCTATCTAAATACAGAGGGATTCTTGGTGAGAATTGAAATCCGTTTTTATTTACGTTGAGCATGATTAAGTAGATTCCCAACACAATTATGCATATTGGAAGGTTAGGATGAGATCTTTCTTGAAATCCCTTGGATGAAAGGGTTTTGGTGAGTGTAATCAAGGTTGGACAATCACTTCTTTAAGAGTCGATGGTGTTGATAAAGCTAAGGATATATTCAATGGATTTAACGATGAATTAGCTGAGTGTAATTAGAATAGAGAAGGTGTTCATTCCATATTTATGGCTATCTTACCTAATGAGTTCAAACGTATGTCCATGTGAGATACTTCTAAGAAAGCTTGGGACATTCTTGAAACCACACGAGTAAATTAAAATGCAAAGAACCCTATGCTGCAAATGTTGACAACTCTATTTTACTAGATAAGAATGAAAGATGATGAATATTTTGATTAGTTGTATTCCAAACTGAATGATATATTTTAACACCAGATTCAACTTACGTGAACGGATCCCTGAGACTAGAATAGTTAGAAAGGTTCTAAGGTCTCTATTTGAGAGGTATATAGACTAAAGATCATAGCTATTGATGAAAGCAAAGACA